CTGGTTCTTTAAGGTGAGGGGTCACCTGTTGTGTCCAGTGGGAGGAGCTTCAGTCCCTACTGTGTGTGTGTTCAGGACGAGGCGTGTCGGATGGCCTGGAGCCTTCTCACAGAGCATTATGGGATACCTGCAGACAGACTGTATGTCTCTTACTTTGGCGGAGATGCTGCGTCAGGATTACAGTCTGACGAGGAGACTCGACACATCTGGCTGGACATCGGGTAGGTCCACAGCTGTCTGCTGCAGGGACGATTCAGGTGCTTTGTCCCAATCTGATACAGCTGAACATTTCTGCAATGCAGTAGACCTGACATGAACAATAGATTAAGCTGAGGTTGTATATCTATCAATTAAACAGAAAAAAGCCCAGATTGGTTCTGATCCTGATCTTTGACATCGGATCAGAATATCTGTAGTCAGCAGCTGGACTACACCTGAGTTTAAGGTTGACTGGATCTCTCCTCAGGGTTCCTCCTGGTCGCCTCCTGCCGTTCGGCCTGAAGGACAACTTCTGGGAGATGGGGGATTCGGGCCCCTGTGGCCCCTGTACTGAGATCCACTACGACCACATCGGAGGCCGAGACGCCGCGGCGCTCGTCAACGCCGACAGTCCGGACGTCGTGGAGATCTGGAACCTGGTCTTCATGCAGTACAACAGGTTTGTACATACCCGGACCAGTTCACACCAGTTAAGACCACACTCAACCAGTACGTGTACACAGAAACCCAGCTGGTTGTCCTGGTCAGCTGCGCTTCTTATTGGCTGTTTGTCGTCAGGGAGGCGGATCTCAGTCTGCAGCAGCTGCCCCAGTTCAGCGTGGATACTGGGATGGGACTGGAGCGACTGGTGAGCATCCTGCAGGGAAAAAGGTCAAACTATGACACCGACCTGTTCACGCCGCTGCTGCACGCCATCCACCAGGTATGAGTACGCACACGCACAGCAGCAACTGCTGCCATAGTGATGCTTGTGTTGCCATGGTGTCTCCTGTTTATTCAGAGGTCGAGGGCGGCGCCGTACGGTGGCCGGCTCGGGGCAGCGGATCAGGGTCAGGTGGACCTGGCCTACAGAGTCGTGGCCGACCACATCCGGACTTTATCGGTCTGCATTGCCGACGGTGTTCACCCAGGCATGTCTGGAGCTGAGTGAGTCGCAGTCCAATCAGCTGCCACAGTGCTGGTTACCTGTTTGTTGCTAACTGTCTTGTTGTTTACCTGTTTGGTGTTTGTGTCAGGTTGGTCCTGCGGAGGATTTTGCGGCGGGCGGTTCGGTTCTGTATAGAGGTCCTTCAGACTCCTCAGGGAGCGCTGGCCAGCCTGGTTCCAACTGTCACCCACTTGCTGGTAAAAGACATTTCCCATAATCCACAGCCTCCAACCTGCCAGGTGTGTACATGTGATACCAGCTCATAGAACAGGCGCTCGCTGCCGTGTCGAAGCTGTGGAGCAGAAACACAATAATGATAAACAATTAGAATCCGGTTCTGTCATAAACAGGATTCTGCACAGGAAGTACTTTTGCTGCTGGTACTTTGTTTTGATGATAGAACTACTGGAACATTTCGTTAGCAGTCATCATGAAACTAACCTTCACTCTGATTGGTTGATTTGTGTCCTGCTGTCAGGGTGACGTGTACCCAGAGCTGCACAAGGAGGCCGATCGGGTGAGTCTCGTCACAGTGAACCGGTTTCACAGCCGTCTGAATCAGAACATGTGACACCTGGAGCAGCAGGTGACCCGTGTTTCTCTTCCAGATCGTGGACGTCATCAACGAGAACGAGGCTCAATTTCTGTCGTCGCTGCAGCAGGGGAGCCGGCTCATCCAGCGCACGCTCAGCAGGAAGGACTACAAGCATGGAGTCTTCCCTGGTCAGTTCTGCTGCAGCCGACAGCCTGTAGGCAGAATTTAACTGTTCAGCGACACATTCAGTTCTACTGTAAACACTGGGGATGTTCTGATCCGATGAGGACCAATCAAGACGTTTATTACCTGATCTGTATTGAACCTCAGCCCACATCTGTATTTATGTTCACTGTCTTGCAGGTGTCCTCTAACCCTACATCTACCCTCTGACTCTACATCTACCCTCTGACTCTACATCTACCCTCTAACCCTACATCTACCCTCTGACTCTACATCTACCCTCTGACTCTACATCTACCCTCTAACCCTACATCTACCCTCTGACTCTACATCTGCCCTCTAACAGAACATTAAGGAACAGACTGGAGGCAGACATGCAGCTGTTTGTTGAAGCCTTGCAGAGATGTTCAGCTGTCAACCAGATGCATTGGATTTATGTTATTAACTGCAGTGTGGTATCAGATTGGGACTCTGTGTCAGCAGATACTGAATGACTTGCATCACTTCAGAACATCCCTGGAAAAACATTAATTTCTAGTTTTTAACATGAGGTGGCGCTCCTGAGCTGAGATTTGTTTTATACTTGATTGTAAACATTGATCTTGTGTTTGATGTCCATCCATGATGTCACTGAGGAGTCAGAACTGGTTTTGATCTCAGCAGTAATACTGGTTGTGTTGTGTGCTGCTGCCAGCCTCGGTGGCCTGGTCTCTGCACAGGGACCTGGGCTTCCCTCTGGATCTAGTGGACCTCATGCTGGAGGACAGAGGCGTCCAGGTGGACCGTCAGGAGCTGGACCAGATCATTGCAGAGAACCACAAGGTGGAGCTTCACACAGGTTTTACTGTGACTTCAGCTACCATAGTGCACCTGGGTTCTCCCAGCATGCTGCAGGTCACAGCGACATCTCATCACATGTTTTATTGTGGGCTTTTACTCTTAAGGAGACACAGGGCTTGTGAAGGAGACACGACTTTGATTGTGAAGGAGACGATTGTGTGTCTCAGGTGATGTCATCAGTCACCTGTCCTGTGTCTAGGTGTCGTCAGGGCCACAGTCAGGTGTTCCGTCCCAGGTGATGCTGGATGTCGTCAGCCTGGCGGAGCTGCAGCGTCTCGGCGTTCCTCACACCGATGACAGTCTCAAGTACGGGTACCGACTGGAAGAGGACCGCTATGGTACGGCTGAGTCCACCTGCACAGGTAGCACACATGACCTGTGTTCCAGTCAGATTGCTGACCTGTATGTCCCTCCTCCCAGTGTTCCCAGCATGCCGAGCCACAGTCCTCGCTCTGTACGACGGTCGGACGCTGGTGTCGGAGGTCCTTGAGGGGCAGCGCTGCGGAGTCATCATGGACCGCACCTGCTTTTACTCGGAGCAGGGGGGGCAGTCACATGACCAGGGCTACTTCACCCGGGACGGGCTGCAGGTCAGCTGACCTCACACACCAGGTGCATCATGGGAAAGTTTCTGCAGCGTGTCCTGGTGACTCCAGGTGTCTCATTCTCTCAGGACGTGCCATTCCCGGTGGAGGCGGCGCTTCTGGCCGGAGGGTACGTGGTCCATCAGGTGACTGCAGCCGACAGCCTGAAGACCGGAGACCAGGTCCAACTGCACCTGGATCAGGTACACACAGAACCAGCAGAACCATTCTTTAAAATGTACACACATATTCAGCTATATAAGCAAATGAAGTAGATGTGACATTGAAATGTCCTGTCTGTCTGTCCACCTGTCTGTCCACCTGTCTGTCCACCTGTCTGTCTGTCTGTCCACCTGTCTGTCTGTCTGTCCACCTGTCTGTCCGTCTGTCCACCTGTCTGTCCGTCTGTCCACCTGTCTGTCCGTCTGTCCACCTGTCTGTCTGTCTCAGGTCCACAGAATGTCCTGTATGGTCAAACACACGGCGACTCACCTCCTGAACTTTGCCCTGAAGAAGGTTCTTGGTTCTTCAGTTCAGCAGAGAGGCTCTCATGTGACGGCCGACCGCTTGCGCTTTGACTTTACTGCCAAGGTGACGCCGGCTCATTGACTTATTACCCAACTAACGAGATGTAACTCGTGTCCTGCTGGTTCTAAGGTGTTCTGTCCGTCCCCCTCAGGGTTCTCTGAGCGCCTCTCAGCTGCAGCAGGTAGAAAAGTGCATCAGTGACATCGTTGCAGCCGATCAGATTGTCCACAGCTTGGAGCTTCCTCTGCACACAGCAAAGAGCATCCGCGGGCTGAGGACAGTGGACGAGGTGCTGTCCAACACTGTCTGCTCCTCTCACCTGGGGCTTCACCTGTGGAACTCCTGGTCTCACCTGCGTCTCCACTTGTCTGCCTCCACAGGTGTACCCCGACCCAGTCCGGGTAGTGTCGGTGGAGGTTTCAGCCTCTGAGCTGCTGGACGATCAGACAGACAGAGAGACGTCTGTGGAGCTCTGCTGTGGGACGTAAGCCTGGAACACACCTGTTTACCTGTCCACCTGTCCTAGACCGTTCTGCAGTACGGAACGTCCCCCCCAGTAGATACCATGCTCAGTACGATCTCCTTCTTGAGCCTCGGTTGTTATTTCATGTTATCCTTTTGTCCCTTTAATTCCACACGGGCTAGTTTTTTGTGGCCGTTCTCTCTCCGTCTTCATGGTTGTGCTGTGTGTACCGAGGTGCAGGACTTTACATCGTGTACTGTGAACAGCGGCCACGGTGGTTAACGGTTAGTTTGTGTTCAGGCACCTGCTCCGGACCGGAGCCATCGAGGATCTGGTGATCGTCTCTGAGAAGCAGATGGTGAAAGGAATCAGCCGGATCGTTGCGGTGACGGGACAGGAAGCAGCACGGGTCAGTTACCAGCCTCAGGTTCTCACTGGATGGTTCTAAATGTGGGCGGTTCTTTTAACCCCACTGTGCCCTCAGGCCCGGGACACCGGTCAGGTTCTATCTCAGGACGTAGACTCTCTGGCAGCCAGACTGTCAGGCTCCGCCCCCTCCAGCTGCAACTCTGCCCAGCGTTTGGCCAAGGAGGTTGGCGTCCTCTCTGACGTAAGTACACTACCCATGATGCACTGCAACTGCTGAGGAGATGCAAAAGCATGGTAGCATGGTGGCGTGTTTGACCCTGAGCTGTGTCTGACAGGCCGTAGACAACACCTCCATCCCCCAGTGGCTGCGCAGAGAACTGCAAGGTCGACTCAAAGCTCTGCAGAGGAGCAGCAACACCGCTGTCAGAAAACTGGAAACCAGAGAGGTAAGCACACCTGGGACACACTCAAGAACACCTGACACACACGACACACCTGAGATGGACCAGACATATACCTACAGTACACCTGGGACACACCTGCAGGCAGTTGTGGAAGGCCTGGTGTGTGTTACTGCGCTGATGCTGTTTTCCCATCATGCTTTGCTCAGGCCACAGTTAGAGCTCAGGCTCTGCTGGAGAAGAACGGCAGGAAGGATCTGCTGGTGGACTCGGTGGAGACGGACTCTCTGTCGGTATGTAGAACCACAGGTGCAGTCAGGTAGAGTCACACACTCGTCACGTCACAGACTAGCAGGTGAAGGTGAGATCGTGACGTGTAACAGTAGCTAACGCAGAAAGTGTCTCACGGCAGAGTAGGGATGCTGACTTTGCTGCCCAACAGTCAGCCAAACTTCAATCATCACTTAACTGTTAGACTGAATGTCGCAGTTTCATGAACTGATGAAGCCACGTTCAGCCACCGACACTGAACAGTAACAGCTCCACACTAGTTATGTCTTTGTTCACTGTTGGAGCAACCTGGAGCTCATCAACCTCCTCAGAGTCTCTGTCATGGTCCCGTTGCTGCTAAACTCCCACAATGCCCTCTGCTGCCACCATGAGCTGTAGTCTGTAGACGCCTCCTCTGGTCTCTACAGCAGATGGAAGTTAGCTTAAAGCTAACTCTGGTGCAATGCATCAAATGGCAACATTTATGTTAAGTATTGTACATGGTCCCTTTTTAAATAAGTGGATTAATAATAACAAAAGAGGCTCCACCTGGTGGAACAACCTGGTACTGCAACTGGACTGTGATACATGTCTGTTTTCTGCCTTATTGGTAAATATGTTTTTAATCAGTTGAGTCATTGACGATAATTAGTCCATTAACAAATCAGTTCCATCCTAGTCCATCCCTAGTCCATCCTAGTCCATCCCTAGTTCATCCCTAGTCCATCCTAGTCCATCCCTAGTCCATCCTAGTCTATCCCTAGTCCATTCCTAGTCCATTCCTA